AGATAGACAGACAGACAGATATGAGATGCTCGCATCCCCATATCTTAGCAGCTTCTGGGAGGTCAAGCAGTCAACGCCCAGACGGCAATGTCCATCCCAACTCCCAAACCAAGGCACAAACCCTCAGACCTCCTTCAAACTGCATCCATTTAGGCATTGGCAATAAACATGATCAAGGATTTATCTCCACGCAGATGCACAGACACGTGTTATTAGATAGTGGCATTCCTTGAGATCAGAAGGGAACCTGGCTTCCTTTATGAATATGCCGACGAGGGATTGTATGCATAAACAATAATATTAGCTGGGTGATGTTTTTTCATGATCTGTTTGGGTTAGGGAGCTATCACAACAAATCAGCAAAAGAATGTAGAGATTGAGTATCATCACTGGACTCATACATTTGATGAGTTCACTAATATAAGAAAATATGTATATAGATATACCTGGACGCAGGTACCAAAGCAAATAGAATATCATCCAGTGAGAACAGACATAAGGACAAGGAGAACATGGACATAGGTTAAACATTTAAAAAAGGGGGAATATGGAACAGACAAAACAAAAAGACAGACAGACAGACAGACAAATGTAGAGAACAAAAAAGGGAGACAAAATAAGTATAGGAAGGGTGGAGAGATTTTCATGACAAGGAAGGATCTATATTTAGAAGAATTAGAGCAACTTAAGCCTGTAACCTGCAGACATCTTTAGGATACTCTTCCACCAACTTCAGATTGACTAAGAACTGTGACCTTAAACTGCAAAGAATATTAGTCTAAAGATTACTCGGCTTTCCAAACAAGTTTAGCTTGACAGCCTGACCTCAAAAAGAGATACCTTTAGTGGCATTGAATTCCATAACAGCCCACTTTTGCCTAAACACTTGACTCAGTTAACACAGAAGAGAAAGAGGGCCAAACCACTCAAAATGCTGATCCATAACTTCACTTAGCTGTCATTTAAAGGGATCGTTCAACAATGTTAAATCTGAGATACACGGCCCTACGTATTATCAGTGTCTGTGATATGGTGTAATATTGAAGCCCTAAAAAAATTGCGCTTCAAAATGATCAAGAAGTGCCTCAAAAAAGTAAAAATCTTTGAGTGACCGGTTTTACCACACTCGTTTTCCACAATAGACTGTAGTGTTATGAAAACCGTCAGGCGAACGGTTTTCAAAATTTGTAATTCCAATCATAAATATCTTGATAATCAGACAGGCGATCGGCTTGTAAAAGTCATGGGGTTCCTGACTGACCCAAAGGTTTATATTTATCATTGCATCATGAGCTAAATCCAGAATTTTGTTTCAGAATCTGAGACAAAGTTACCGGATCCCTTTAAAGCAAAATACAAGCATGTACTTTTTGTATTTTGCTAAGATGTCTACTATTAATCTGAAGGGGGTCAGCTTTACCATCAATTTGAGATTTAAAAAAAATAATAGTAAATACAGCTACAAAGACAATAAGTCCTAATATGTCTCTCTCTTTGAAAAGAATTTACATTTTCTACCATATCCCTATTCAAACTAAATACTTTGATCAACATTGGCCACCAATTTGAAGGAAATGTAATTTTCCAATGAAATAAATCTTATTCATATTCATTGCTTGAGGGAATGTATTTCTAGGGAAGTAGTTTTATAACAATCTTTAAGAAAACAGTGAAACAACAATCGATAAGAAATCAAAAGGGATTTGGAAATTTCAGGGAGCAATTCTTGAATCAAATGTTTGATTGGCAGATAAATCAAAATAAAAACTAAAATCAAAGAAAATATTCAACAACAGAGACAAGATTGACAGTCGAGAATACAAAAGCACTTTTTCTGGAAAGGCGAGTATGTCACAGCCCCGCCAAACTTTTGATATTCTTTTCATTCAGGGCAGGAAAATTTTCTTTACATTCATCCCAAATGGAATAGCATTCAGGAAAAGAGAAATGTTACCCATTCAGCACTAAGCTTCCATCCAAATCTCAGAAATAAGCTTTTTCAATAAATGTAGATCAAACAAGCAATCTGTCTATCACTTTTATATGTTTGAATCTATGCTTGATGTGGAGATGCATTGATAAGGAGAACAATGGAAGAAGAGAGATTCAAGGATCTTCGGCGCAATACAAAGAAAACTTGTGAAATTTATCACATTTAGGTATATCCAGACAAATTTCTTTTTTCTAGAGCTATCACATTAGCCCCTTCTCATCATGAAGAAATGGTTTGGGAGGAATCCCTAGCTTTTCACATAATCCTATAAAAGGAAGAGTCCTTGGGATATGTTCATAATCTCTTTGCATCTTTTCATATTGATGAAAGGAAGGACAGATTATGTCTGAAGTCTACCACTATTCCTCATCTCTTTCAAATCATTGAAACCTTGGTGTGTCGCGAAAAATACCTTTCTTCATATTTCCCTGCAGCTACTCCTTATATCCTTATTAAATTGTTGTCCTGTTTTCCTTACAAACTCTTCTATCATCTTACTAAGTTTAAAGGATATGTCGCCCCATTACATTTTCTTTTCTTAAATCAAATGCTAACTTGGAGAACAACTCCAATTATCTTTAAGCCATATTTAACATTCCTATACGCAAAAGGTTAAGATAAACAACAACAACAACATTACATATGAGATGTCTCATACCATTTTTGAGTCAATTTTTGAGATGTTCTTTTGGCAATTGTAAAGAAGGAAAAAAGAGAGAAAGGGCAACAATTGACATTTACTGCTCGACTGAAACAGACTACATATTTCATTTTTCCTCTATTATCTTTGTGATTCTGAGCTACACCCTAGACAAGCCAAACACAATTTGCAATGACAAATTCGTCCCAAGTATTTCCAAGCACTTACAGAAACCCACAGAGACCTATTGCATCTATATATCACACTTAAGAAAGAATGAAGAAAACAATATTGGCAGAACTAATTTCAATTATACTGTTGAGGTACAATGAAGGCAAAAAAGAGAACGGGTCTCAATGGAGAATTGGGGCAATGACCGGACGGATAGCCGCTCTTGTTGAGAATCGTTTTCCTGTCTTTTTCTCTAGTTCAAGTTTTTCCTTCAAGCAGGGATTTTATATACATTTTTTCCCAGATTTCACCAAAATAGAGAAAAATTCCAGAACCATTAAAGATACAAAATGACTTCAAACGCAAAGAACCATGATTTCAATAACAAAAAAATTGATATGATAGAATAAACATCTCATATCACCTAGTTGATGTTGCTTTCCTCCTTTTAGTTTTACTTCCAACTCAAACTGCTTCTTGAACACTTTCTTTTATGTCATACCGGTATTTGGGACAATAAAATAAATGATTTCCCAATCAAATACTACTTCACTTTGTCTCATGTGAACAACAAATCATTATATGCCATTGATAATACTTTCAATTTAATATTAATTCATAACTATACTCCTTGTAATGAGGTAAAGGATACAACAATTTTGTTCCTTTAAAGACGGATATAATGCTCTAAGCTTTTACAAGACCTATTGTTAAGCGATGCGAAAAGGCAAAATCAAAACACAATAATGACCGCCTCAACACAATGAAAGAATTCCAAACAGTTTCCAGCTGGTTTGAGATTTGAAATATCGCTTTCGTCATAATTGGGGCAGTTCTTTCATAAACGATTCCTTTCTTTGAAAATGATATTGGTATGGGTGGTCTAAAAATACTCTCACTTGCCCATTAATACGCTCAGAAATACTGTTTGTCATTTTGCGATATCAAACAGCTTGCCGAATCAGGAGATTCTATGAATATTTTCATGTTGATTTCAACTTCTTTACTGTATGTTCTTTACATTTCCATTATACATTCAATTTCTTCTATTTAATTGCATCGGATATCCGAGCTCTCCCTGAAATGCCAATGATAGTTTCATGACTCTCTCTTATAATTTGTTCCTTACAAAATGTTTTTTACTCGTTGATTTAAATTATTTTCTCATTTTGTAACCAACCAACATTTTCTAAACCTTTTTTCTCTCCTAACATTTTCTAACAATCCACCATAACATGATACCAACATTTGAAAAAAAACACAGATTTCATCAATTATGCATAACTTAACTATTCCGATTATGAATATAAAATCCTGAGAACATTATCCACAAATCCATCACCACTACTCATCAAAAACAAAAATGTCATCCTAAGAAAAGAGAAAAACAAACCAGGAGAAGGAAATAGAGTACATTATGGAAAGACTTTCTCCAGGGAATGACAGATGGATGCACACATCCAGATGTGTTATTGATGATGAACATTGTAAAATCATTATCGGCATCATCACTTGAGTAAAGAGAATGTGACAGAGATAAAAAGGGTGGCTTACCCACCCACACACTTCCTCCATATTCCCTTGCAAGTAGGAATAGTTTGTGATTGCACCCGACCAGCTTACATCATTGTCAGCAATTATTTTATAATTTTTAGTTTTGGGACACACACAGGACAATAATTCATTTTCAATACTATATACAGAAATAGAAGGCATACTGTAAACATTGCTAAGATCTTCCAAACTTTGCCATGTACGATGGATGGAGAAAGTGTGCCTATTCGCATGAATTTTACAGAGCTTTATGTTACTTTCCTTCTTAGGAAGTACAGACAGGCTATTTACCTTTAATTTATGCAACCAAAGGCAAGTTTAACTTTTTAATATGATGTGTTTACCTAGAAATTACATATACTTTTGATGAATGCAATATTTTCAACTGACAACCTAGAGAAAGTATATTTTGTTAACTGGATGCTTCTATCCAGCTTAGTTTCTGAGCATAGGGCTTCTACCCAGTGTATACATACTATCAATGTATGTAAATTTGCAGTTGGAAACCTGGGGCAAGTTTAGTGTTTGAACATGATGCTTCTCTCCTCAAAGAAATGAAGAAAAAAAAGGGGAACAGGGGAGGGGGTGGGGGGTAAGAAGGGAAAAATGTGAGAGTGAAGTGAAGATTTCTCTTGAGCTTACCTCTGGGCTTGAGTTGGGTTTGGTGATCCACGCTGATGCCGCGTTGGGCTGAAAGGTGAATGGACCCGAGAAGGCTTCATTTATTGCCTCCAAGGTGAATGCGCAGACAGCTGAGCCATGGATGCTGTTGCTATAGTAACGGAAGGGAAAGAGAGGGCATCATCTCTAGTGTATGTATGTATTTATATTTCATACAGCATGGATGCAAAATTCAACAATGCATGTTTGGTTGGATATGGTGGAAGTAATCAGTTTCTCTCTGTTAAGGTTTCTCTTCTCTTCTTCAAATCTGCTCCTTTCCTAGAGTCATACTCTACTCTAATCACGACGTTATTCACTTTCCACTTCTCTCTTCTTCACTTTCTTTACATCACTTTACAATGGTGGTAGTCATTCATTTACGACAACTAATGAAATGAAATCAATGTGTAATAAAACCATCAACTTCTGAGTGAACAACCGATGACAGAAGAAATTTTATTCAAATTAATACAATCTAACAATGAGGAATAAGAAATTTTACCTTGGCGTTGAGAAAACTGTGTAGATGATCCCGGTTTCATTGTCATAATAGGTACTTTCTGTGTAGGAGAACATTTAAGATAGACACAAATTGTAAAAACAGTATTTCAAAGCCATGTTTAATAAGTATGATAGAATAAGAAAATGCAAAGAAATATGAAAATACCATGAATAATAATGGTAATAACTTAAGTTTCTAATTTCACTTTGTCAATCAACAGTCTATACGATTGAGTATTCTTATATATTTGAGAGATATTGTCAAATGTCTATATGCATAGTTTGCTTCTTGGAAAGAAATTGCTTTTGTATACAACTAACCAAGTGGATGAAAATCAATAGTCAATTTGGTTATTCAAGCATAATCCAGTGAATCTGGTCGATGTGGCTCTGTGGGGATCAGATTGAGCACTTAAAAAGGAGGGAGCCAAGAAAAAGAAGTAAGGTTCATACGAAAGTCATCAACATTAAGTTTAGGTCATGGTTTTAAACTTCAAAAATTATCTTGAAGTAAGGGACAGTGCAGATGCACCTGTTGTTGCGACACTGGAAGTATATCCTCAGAAGTTTATGTAACGATAACTATGAGCAGCAAGGTATCCTCACTCTAAATAATGTGCCATACAGACGCAACTAACTTTGAGCTTATACCAGTTTAAATGAATGCTTCACCCCCCCCCCCCTTCTGGCTTGTAGTTAATTAGTTGTTAATCAATTGTTTTGGTATGGTGTGAACCTCTTCGTTGTCAGTGAGGCATTGTTTATAACTGTGATATTTTGCAAACTCAATGTTTAAAACTCTGACAGTGCCATGTGAACATATCCAAAGATTGCCAGACTGATTTCATGTCTGCATAAACAACGTCAGCATATAAAACAGCTAAATTTAGCCCAAAATAACAAGACACGGTCTTACATGCGTTTTTTATGTTGCTTGGGTCATGAAGAAGTAAGATAATGGGAAGGAGGCAAGATGTCGGGAGGGGGGAGGGGGGAGGGGGGAGGGGGGATCCGGAGGGGGAGGAGGGAGGAGGGAGGAGGGGGGCTGTAAATATAGAAGGATATCCTGGGGGTCTTGTCTTTCATTATATCAGAGAGGCAATCAGGTTGCTAGGAAGACAGATGGATGGATGTCTCTCGACTTGCTTCATAAAGCAGACAGTGGACATTAGACTTTCATCTCTTTTTCGCATAATTAATGCTCCACAAATATGGGAGCTAATAATCATACACGGAATATAAGATATTCATAAAAATTCTAATCATTCATGAAATTGACATGAAATCGACAGGAAATTGTGTCATACTTTACCTATTTCATTGAATGAGAAGGGAATCTTGCCAGGGATAGAGCAGTTCAGACGAGCCTTGCGGAAGGTTGTCCAGTTCTCCTCCAATAAGAAGTTTCCTCCATTATCACTCTGAAAGAATTAATACGTTAACAATTACGTTAAAAAATATGTTTAAAAATGCATTACGATTACCAAAAGTAGATCAATTTAACATCATTTTGTATGTATTTTGGTAAGTTTTGTTTTTGTTCAATTTCATTTGGATAAGAGGGAATGGAAATGTTTCTAATGGACATGATCAAAAGTTTTGAGTAGAGTACAGGGGCATGACTGAATTTCATCTATAGGTATTAGCCCTTTTCTGGTGCCTATTCCTCAGACAATACTGGCAACAGATCCGAGCAGAGGGATCATAATCATATATTCTCCCTCCTGTTTCTTCAACGGTTTATCAGATCTATGAAGATTTGGTGAATTCCTAGAAGTACAATCGTTATGACATTAAATAAAAAGTCTTGGTGCTCTCGCTATTAGTAGAGAGGTGGAAAGCCTACAACTTTCTTTCTGTTTATTTTCCCGTGATCCCATCACTCTAATTCAGGAGTAAAGAATGATCTCCCTCAAACAAACCGATCGCCAAGGTCTCTCGGCTAGTCTTTGCCAACATTTCTCCAGCGATCCCAATCCAAACAAGTCTTTGATATTAATTGCGTTTTGAAACCTTACATCTGTCAGTCATAAGACAGATTTAATGCAGGGGTATTTGTCCTTTGTATAAACAAATGTCACTGCTTTGTTATTGTTACAACATAGATGTGTACGCTATGTTACATGTATGTGGAATATGTACCCAAGTACAAGCAAACAAAATGGGAATACTGAAGTGTATATAGCACAGCTCGGAGAATGAGAAAGAAGTACTAATGGAGAGGAAGAAAAATATATTAAGAGACAGAGGAATGACAAAGAGCCATAGGGAATCAAAGGAAAGGAAGAAATACAGTTAGCAGATCGAGGAAGAGAAAGACAAAGAGAGGGAGAGAGCAAGAGACAGAGAGATTAAAAGGGGGGGGTATTTGAAACATGTTGTCCTATACAAATTTGATTCTGCACTAGTGACTTTTGTCATCTTTTTAAGAAATGCAGGTGCTTTCTCAAATATCCCTGGGCTTATAAAAAGATAACAGCAGAAGACTAATCATACCCCGAATATGTCTATGTGGCAAAAATGTATAATGCTTCCCTTTCAATAGAACAAATACTATATTCCTAAAGGAATCATAATTTAAGCACTGTATGACATTTTTTGACACAGTAAATTGCCTTGCAACCCAGAACAACACCTTACAACCTTCTTAATTTATTTGATACCAGGGGAGCTGTAACAACTTAGCAATCAATGTTAATAGGTCTGTAGGAATGATTATGTGCAAGGCCTTCTCAAAGCGGTCCTTTGTATTTGACATTGGAATTGAAATTAAGTGGTTTTCTAACCTTCTCTGTATCCCTGTTGGAATGGAATTATTTTGGTAATTGACAACAATTTAAATTATGACCCCCCCCCCCCCCCACCTGATAAAAGCAATTAAGAAAAACAACAACACATGCATCAATATCTGCTGAACTTTGGAACAAACTACCTTTGCAATTGCATGTCAAAAACTGTCAGACTGTAAACCAATTCAAAACTTGTCTTAAGACACATTTATTCAAAATTGCTTTTGATGATTAACTTATACTATGTTCACATTGATGTATATTTCATATGTATTGTAATTTGTAGGTTTATTTGAAACTTTTTGTTTTGGTTAATATGTAATTGTTCATCATTGTATTTTGTTTGTTATAGCGTTTAGAGACTTCGGTGGAAAGCACTTTATAAGTACCATATTCATTATTATTATTATTATTATTATTATTATTATTATTATTATTATTATTATTATTATTATTATTATTATATCTATTTGAAGCCTAGTTTAACATAGGCAACTTCATAAATGCGATAACAGAATAATGGGACAGTAAAGCATACTACTTGTTCACTTTATAAGTAACTTTTGATGTCGATGGAATGAAAATTGCTTACAAACAAGTGTATTCCTGGATAATAAGGTTCATTATCTTGCAATCAAAGTGGCTTTCACAATTTACAAGAAAGTAATGTACCATAAAGACAAGGAAATTGGATAGACAAATATCAGCAGCTAACCAACATTAAGGCGGCATGTATTCTGATCAAGATCTATTGGTTGATTTAGTTTGAGAGCTCCGTGTCACATCCAGTACTTTATCAGAGTGTTATTTCGTAAAGAAGACGTGCTCTTGATCTTGGCGTTTTCCTCCATCATGATGTTATTGGCACAATGTACTTTCACAAAGGGGCAATGTTACTTTAGGATAATGCACTTCTCCAGTCCACATGCTTTTAAAGGTTTACAGGATTGTCTACGGCATTTGTATTTTGTCTGCTACTGCGTAAATATGAAATGATCGTACATGTATGTAGTGAGTGTTTAATGTCATCTGTCCAGCGACTGTATTTAGAAGGTAACAAACCTTATTTTTCACCAAAGAAAGAATTCTATTCTGTAAGATGATTGTTTTCTTTCATTACTTCCCATTCTTCGTCTCAAGTCATTTCCTTCTTCAAACATATACATTTCTATTCATTGAGAAAAGGTTTGAAAGCATTCAGTAGGGTATTTATCTACTAAACAGTTTGTACATCAAAAAGAAACAGTTTTGGTGCTTCTGCACAAGCATGTACTGCTATCATTACTACTCTGAAAGGATTTTTAGAAGAGGACAACACAAGTAATTAGTGGTTACAAAGGGCTTCTTGCCTGAAAGAAAGGAGAGGATCTATTCAACATCTACTTTTTCTGTATTGATTTTTGGCCAGATTTTTTTTCTTCCCACTTTCATTTAAAAAGAATGGATGCAAATGTTCTTATTCGTACATGTACTTTTCTATTCTCTAAAAATATGCTGGCAAACATTCAGTAGGGTATTTACCTCCTCATCAGTTTGAAGGAAAATAAAAGCAGTTTTGGTGCTTCTTTTCAAACATGCACTATATGTTCATTCCCAAGGATTCATACAAGAAGTAACAATTTAAACATCCTGCGAATTGAAAGAAGAAAATGTACTTCTTTAAAGGAATAATGGACCAAGCATCCTTATATCGCTTCATGGATGTTTTAGCAGAAGACATGTTTGACGAGAAACCATTGAGAGAATTCAATGTAGCAGAAATGCAACTAATTTGCCATTTGATGGAGTGTCTGTGTCCTTAATGGAAAACTAAGTATGGATTAAGTCAGTATTATATCACTAGAAAGCTTGACAAAATGTCATTACACTAAATCAAAGTGAGGCCTTTTCATGAGATCCCCTGCTGAGTGCAAGAAGGGTGTACAATCATACTTTTGCATGGATTTAACACCGTCTGGCTCTCAGAAGACATTCTTAAGAGTTAAATGAAGAGGAAGTTTTACAAGCTTGCAACAATTGTTGGCACTAGCTAATGGGGATTAAAAACAGGTTGTAATCTTTCAACAGCCATCATATGACAAGAAAAACTCAATGGTGCTTTCATTCAACTGAGACATAACAAATCAATGTTGAATGCTGTACATTAGCAGAGGTGGTTTGTAAGTAGATTCACTGGATGCAATACATAATAGAACATTAAAAAGTGGAGTTTAAGACCCCTGCATTCCCATTTCCAGGGAGTTGGGGGGGGGGGGGGTGGGTGGATGGAATATAAGCCCATTTTTATAGATGGTGAAGCTTTGGTGAATATGGCTATTTTATTCTTGACTACTGCTTACTTATTCATACAATGTTGGTTAATCCTAAATTGTGGTAGACTTCAAAATGCCACAGAATTTGGTTCCAATCATTCCTTTTTGCTAAGAGGAAGCTGTTACTTATTTGCACAATTATTTGTAAATTTGTCTGGATCTTTCAACATCCATTTACATTCTGATTAAATCTTCAAATAGGTCTAATCTATGAATTCAATGGAACATGCAAGTTTCCAAATTCACATGTGTCAAGATCTGGATTTTACATCAGTCTGCATGCCTTTCCTGAACTGACCCTCAAATATTCAGGCAAATTTGGTCTATTTGCTTTGAACTTGGAGAGTGACAGTTGCGGATATCAAGGGGTAAAATACCATGGCATGCTACCCAAACAGTTTCATATGTTCTCTGCTTTATCCTCTCCACATCTGGAAAAGAAATCAGTCCTCAAATTTGCCCCCTTGTTTGCGTTCCCACCACTTATACCAACATAAATCGCTATAAGTGGGACCCCCGGTAATGAGCGATGAAAGAATGACAGTTTTGCCCACCCCAATCAAGTGATGAAAAACAAGAAGTATTCATATTTTGATTGCATCTCTCTTCTCCTAACACCGCGGGAGGTGGTGTTTACTACCAAAGTCAAATACACCATGCAATATTTTGAGGGGTGCAATTTTTCACCCCCAGCAGTCCTCATATCAATATTTCCACATAATCTCCATTAATAATGACCAGACCAGTAGGAAGTTTTCCATTCATTTTGTCAAGGCTGATTAGGAGAGTTTGTCAATTGTCAGGGTTTTAAATGTTGTGAGAAAAGTTCAAATTTGAAGTAAAATGTAATTGATCATGGCAATTTTGATTGCAGAAACAGACGGAGAAACACAACACGCTTGAAGAAAGAAATATGGAGAAGGGGATAAAGATTACCTTGAAGGTAAATCAATTGATAGAAAAATTAAGTTACACTCCCCTTTACCCAAAACAAAAAGATATATTTTACAATTTCTAAAACATTGAAAAAGCAGGAAGGGAATGATGAGTTTTGACAGATTCTAGAGCGGATATAAATTGGAAATTTCAACTACTAAACAATTGCCAAGTCATAATGATGAAAAAACAACATTGTCCATGGGAAATCACCCAACTGACGTAGGTTTCATTCAAAGAGGTTGCCGTGGATACAGATTGTAAATTCATCACATTTGTTTTCTGAAAATTCATAAATAATAGCATTCTGATCCTACCTTGCATACTCGGGCGACTCTTGAGTAGATGATCTGAAGGAGAAAATGAGGAAAGATAAAAAAAAAATAAAAGATTTAATTTTTGTGCATAAAAACTTAAAAGGCATAAATCAAATTCATTTGTATAATTTTTGTATTTGTATACCAGAGTACTTTTTATAACATTCATAGGAAACATAAGATGGGGAAACTTCATATCCTCTTCTATACATAAAAGAGTAAATAATTATTAGAAGCATATACTCAGCATTTATTAATGTAGTACATGCTCATGATTTTAGGTTTACTCCTGTTTGTTAATGTCATCAAACTATTAAAAGTGCAGTGAAATTGAACACCATGGCATGATTTTTTTCATCTCGTCATCAAAACCGATATAACCTCAATGTGCGTAAAGCCCGCCTTCCCACAATCCTTTAGCTAAACTCATGTGGTTAATGACGAGGAAACAATGCATCATCACCTAACGTACAGACTTGGCAGTTGCTCTTCTCTAATCTGCATTCATGGAATCAAATTTTAGCGATATTAAAAAAAATGATCATGTCTCTTTACTTCATGACATCATAAGATTAATATTTGAGGTCATTATATAAATCGCTGAATTTTGAAACGTTTAATGTCTAGTTAAGTGGAGGAGAATGAACACTGAAAAGAACATGGACTTCACTCTATCAGATGCTTGGACATTGATGCTATAAATTAATGTCCCCCTAAAGAGTACTGACACCACATATTAGAGGAGACGAAGGGAGATTCCCAATTTCTTCATTTTTTTAAACAAAATTTAATCCTTTCTGTCTTGAAAATGTCCTTTACTTTAATATCAGATGCTTGGACACTGACTACACAAGATAATGTCATGCTGCAAAGCAGAGTTGCCACATATTAACTGGAGGAGGATTCTCTAATTCTCTTCATTATTAAACAAAAGTTAACCTTTTCTCTGTTACAAATTTCACTTTACTACTACGACTTCATATGTAACAAGTGCAAAAGCAGACCTGCACATATCATGAAGGCAGTGTAAGGGTTAATGACATTGGTAATATCTAACATGTGTACATGACATGTGACAAGGGATTTATTCCCCTTAGCTGATCCTCTGGTAAACCTCTCTCTTCCTCTCATCTTTCCTCCCCTCTTTCCTTCTCTTCCTTCCTCTCATATCGCATTCCACCCTCCAATATTACCATTAAGTCTCTCACACCTCTAACTGGTTACCCCTCTTTACACTTTTCCCTCTCTAACACAGTTTTTAACACTACTTCAAAAATCATAAAGTGATGAAAATGCAGCAAATAATACACCTTTCCCCCATTTCACTATATCTGCAGTTAGAATGAAATTATAACTTGTAATAAGGCATCAGTAGTCCAAATTTTATACTGATTTCAGCACAACTTTGCATTTTCGTAACATGTGCAACATAGGTAAGGGAGGGTGCTATCTGTGAAGAATATCTTTGATCTTTACTACCATTGTAACTATTCAAACACATTTTGCAGCCAAGAGCTCTATTTCACCCATTTAGATTGAATTTCTGTTGACTTGGTCAAGTAATGAGATACTCATACCTGAGCCACAAGAATCACATGAAATTTGTAAGGCCTCATTGTAATTACCTGCCACAAATCGTCTGCTGAGAGCCAGAAGGGCATTAACTCTCATTTGTTTATATCAAGTTAATGTCCTTCTGGCTACCAACAGAAAATATGCTTTCAATGAAGGGGACCTTTTCATAATCATATCATAAAAGTAAGTTCCTTTGAAATTCTGAGATATGCTATGTCTTAGATTTGAAATGGTATGGCAAAAAGAAGGAGAGGGATAGATATCATCTGCAAAGAGCAATACAAGCATTAACTTATATATTTATACACATATATAACGCCGTTCTGGATCTTAACAGACAATATGAAGAAAGGAACATAATGTGAAAGTGTATCATGAGAGAAGCCTATGATGTACATTACTATTCATTACTCTTCATGCTGAAGAGATCATGAAGTATTTAAATTCTTCATGACTTATTATGGCGAGAGTCTGCTTTATAAGAGGTAATAAATAGCCCATTCTTGCAGCCTAATAACACACCTAGTCTGTTCAAACATTAGCTCTTTCATGAAAGGATTTCAATTTCCAGCTAAAGAAATCTTGAAGGCCTAGCACATAATGAAGCATTACTATGGATTCCCATTCTCAATAACACATATCATTTACTTTTAATCATATAACAATAATCATGCATCCCAAATGTTATCTATTCTTTGAGTAGTTACTCCACATCCAATGGAAAAACATCATTCTATCCAATTATGTGATCTCCTTTGAAAGGAATGGGTGGGGAAGGGAGCAAAAATAGCGCATCCTCCCAAATGATGTGAATCTTTCTAGCAAACCATTAATGTCTACTGGTAGTCACAATTCCTTACAGTAAGATAATTGAAGGTAGTCGTGTGCAGTGAAATAGCTGAAAGATTTCTATATAACATTCTTCTGGTTGTAGGGTAAATATTTTAAGTGCCCTTAAGTGCCCTTTACATTTGATCTCTCCCAACTGTGTAGACAAGTTTCAAAAGAATCCATCCTTCTCAGACAAAATTATAATTTTTTTTTTCTTTTTTACAAATCTGTTTAAGTATCTCATCAGAATATTTTGTACTTTCTTTTTACAATATTATACTCAGTTCTGTTTGATAAATGCAGTGATCTACTACTTGATTAGTTTCCTCCTGGTCCTTAATCTTATTATTAGATCACCCACAAAGTCTGGAAGGAGCTGGTAAACCTGGTCCCAATCTGAAAGCAGACTCCCTAAGGTAGATGCAATCAAGCACCATATCATAATTGATTCATCTCTCTACACTACTGACCATCAACTATACTCATATTCATACAGGGGTCACAGGTCATCACAGGTCATGGGTCAATTACAGGTCAGTTTAATGGGGACATTGCAAAACAAAGTCTAACCTCCTTCCTCTCCTCTTATCCAAGTCTTTTTTCTTTTCTTTTTTCCTTCTTTCTCTCTGTCTCCCCCTCTCTGTCTCTCCTTCTTTCCCGTTCACCCGTTTCTCTCTGTTTCTCTATTCTGCCTTCACCATCCCCCCCCCCCCCTCTTCTTTCCCCCTCTCTGGGGCCGGACAATGGAGCGAGGCAACTCCACATCTCAAGGGGCCTCCTGCCTAATTGCAAAAGGTACACAATTTATACCAATTTCACAGTTGCTATAATGGACAAGAGTTGACCATCAGATAAGAGGTCTCTTTGAGAGAGTGATATTTCATCAAGAAATCTCAAAAACATGGCCGGTGATATCCCTAAAGAAGGTTTTGTGGTCAAGGTGGCATTGGCTTGGGGTTGGCTTGAGGCACTTCCTTTCTTGAACATGGCGAAAGAAGCGAAGCTATTCAGCCAAGTTCACTCTTATATACTTAGTGTTAAGGCACTCTTTTAATCTCCAGGCGAAACAACAGAGTTTTTAGCCATCATTTCTGGTCAACAGTATTTTTCTGTCTTTCCCCTTGCATTATCATATGATGCTAATATAGATGTAGCTAGGAATGACATTGTTTGTTTATTCGGGTGACTCTTGACAAGTACTTTGGGCTGCTAAACTTTAACCTCTTCTTAGCCCGAAGCGTACAGACGGTATAGACCATTGCCAAGTTGATTTTGGACCAAAGGCCTGAACAAACACACTGAGTGGATGCAGTCGGCATATTTGGCTTGATGTCAGTGCGGTTGATTTTATCAGTCTTCCAAAGAAATATTTATTCCCTAGTTCTGACCGGAACTACACTGACCTCTGATCTAAGCTACTTTTCTCACCCAAACTGTTGAGTTTTGGTGGCTAACACTGGAGCTGTCACAGCTTAATCCATGGCTTAATCATAAAAAGCCGCTGCATAACACATCTTCTTCAGAGCTTAGTTTATGTTTCATGTTGTGATGCCTTAATTTTCAATCAACCATTATCACTAGTATCACTCATGAAGGGAGCACATATATCAGCTGTAATTTGAATTGAGGTTTGTAATCAGATGAAGATGTGGAACAACCAAATGTATTACGCTCATTTATTTCAAAGTTAATGAAGTAAATACACCAAGAGTGGATTGTGATATCTGATTGGGTAAATTTCCCAATTCTGAATATTGTGGTCATTTGCCAATCTTTTAAAGTCTTTAATATATTCTGCGGATAGAATGCATGCCAAAAGTGGTGATATTTTCGTGATTCCTATGATGATTACAGATAAGCTTCTAATAATAACAGCAAAAAAGGGAATGGGTCAAATTTTTTAATCTGTTTATTTCATACTCCTGGCAAATGTAAATTTTCTTTTTATGAACTGCATTCTGGTAGCACCAGGAAGAAATTAATAAAACCTAAGATTATGATCATTTCAAACTGACACATGGAAAAGTTAATAGGATGTAGATTTCCATAATGAAAAAAAAATTGAGAAGAGAGAGAGAGAGAGAGATAGAGAGAGAAAGAGAAAGAGAGAGAGAAAGAGAAAGAGAGAGCGAGAGAGAGGATATTTTGAAATAATTTGGGAATAAGCACAATGGGATACACAAGAGATAAATACAGTGGAATGTCTTGAGAAAAGTGTTAGAGAGCCACTATGAAGGACATATGAGGATATAGAGAACAGTGAGGTAAACGGTGAAATAGAGACCTGTGCAGTATGGCCATGGTATGACAATAAATGGAAGATTGTTGAGCTATTTGACCCCACACAAGGGAGATGGATGATTGAACTAAACTATCAAATCTACACATTAATATCAGACAGAATCAGTAATGATGATTCCTGAGACAGGGACGACAGGTGCTAGATGGTCCTTTGTTTGGTCAATGCCTTGCCCTCCTTTCGTTCACCAGGACGGGGTTTCAAAACAATTGAGCACAGATCACGGAGAGTCGTTTAAGATTGATCAAGGAATTCCATTTGTAATTTAATGAAAGTGCCATTGAGGAAATAAAAAGCGTCCATTTTGGGATTACATCAATTTAGGTGA